GAGCCCACATGCCCGTTGAGGTCACCTCCTATGATCAACTTCTCTCCCCTTGGCACTCGTCGCACCACGTCTTCAAGATCTTCCCAGAATTGTTGAGTTGTAGATGCATCCAATCCCACTTGTGGTGGATAGACACTTACCACAGACACAATCTCACCCCTTATCACCAATTTAATGCTCATGATGTGATCGTTCTTCCTGAAGACTTCTACCACATCCTCAACATAGTCATGCGCCACAATAATGTCTACCCCATTTCTGGTCTTATCTCACCCCGAATACCACAACTTAAAACCTCCTGGATTAATCTCGCGTGCTTTCTCTTCAACCCATTTAGTTTCTTGCACACACATAATGCTGATATTTCTTCTCCTCATAACCTCGACTACCTCGGAAGATCTACTTGTAAGAAACCCAACATTCCATGTCCCAAAACGCAATCTAGCACTCCACCTTCTGTTCTTAGACCTATCACGGACCCCACCATGCCCTTGCATATTTGACATCATCCCCAGGCAATGGGATGACGCGCCGCTTCCGGGCGCCGACCTAGCAACCTTAGCATTCTTATCACCACACCCAGGTCTATGAAGTGTAGCACGACCTTGCAAATTTGACACCACCCCCACGCGGAGGGATGACACGTCACTTATGGGTGACGACCTGACATTAGCGATATTCATATTTCGATTCATGTCATGTGATGTGACTAGGTGATACTGTTGGCCGTCACACACCTACCACAGCACCCTCCTACTTTATCCTGGCTTGGGACAGGCATGATACCAAAAAAATGATATCATGGCGGAGTTCACGTACATCTCTATTATTATTATTATACTCACTCTTTTACATTTATTTAATTGAACATTGGACTTTTGGTCCTGGTAAGACTAGAACTCATTAATGAGAACGACTTTCATTGTGATTGGAAAACTAGTTCGAAACTAGTATAAATGCATCTTCCTCCTTCATAATTTTGAGACTATCTTTCAAAATTCAGTATTACCAGTTTATTTCCTTGCGAAGAGATTTTCTAGCCTTTCTCTTTGGGAGATCTAACCGTTCTTTCGGCAAGGAGAAATCATGTGGATACCTAATATCAAGGATTATCACTGCTAGGCTGGAAGATCTGTAAGTTCTCTCAAATCTGTTATTATTGTTATATTCGTTGTTTTGTCATAATGAGGGAAGATCTGTTTGGAAAAATTTTAAATTACTGTTGTTGTACTTTCGAGGTATGTTACGTCAATTTCCCAACACATATATACCCCTGAACTTTTTAAAAGGTGCAAAAATACCCTTCACGTTCTTATAAAGGAGCAAATACACCCTTATTGACTTTAAATTGATAAAATAAATTTCAAAAAACACCAAAACTTATATATTCAATATTGAAAAATTAAAATTTTTTAAAATGTACTTGTGTCCAATAGAAATGTGACTAACATGGCAGTACTTACTGTCATCATTTTTTTTTTTTGCGAAAATAGAAATTTTATTAAATAAAGCAGGCAAGAGTACATGAAAGGAAAGAAAACAAAAAAGAAAAGATGATAATGAGAAGAAACAAATAAGAAAACACTCAACCCAAAGCCAATCCTTATCTAGATAACCCTGAGCCCTCGATCAAATCTTTAAAGCCCTGTTCTTGATTGAGATTTTGTTTTCATAAGATGGGATCATTGATTCTTTTTTATGAACATTCTTTTCTGGGTGTTCAAATTCTGTGTAGGTAAGCAGTTATCTCGTGTAACCCTTAAAGCTTTGACACAAATATCTTCATTTGTAGCAGAATCCCATAAATCATCCAATGTTGAGATTGGTACCCTCTTCTGAAGCATGACCGAGAAATTCATCCCCCGAACATGAATAGTACGAGTCATCCCGGCCAATAACCATCCCAAACAAAAGCATCAGACAGAACACCAAGACATCCAGACTCTGGTACTCTAGGCGGCTGATGCTCAGCTTTCTCCAAAACAGAATCCGTTACAATAGCTTTTCCCTCATAAGTGGGTCCCAAAGTCAAATTATCACGTTTAACTGGGAGTCTCTCAAATTCACTGGTGAGGAAACCAGAGAGTGAGTCCACCCCATTTGACAACGTAAGCTGAAAGAAGTCCTTAAGATTTGAATATTCATCTGATTCTGGATTTTTCTCAGAGCGATCATCGAAAATCAACTCCTTCTCAATATCCATTTGAAACAAAGCACCTGAAATGGAGAAACCTATCTTTCCAGAACAGCCCCTATCAAAAACATGGAAATCAAATCGCTAGTATTGGCGGTTGGACAGATTTTTCCATCAAAGATATTGCTCTTGTAATCCCTTTAAGAAAAAGATTGATTCCTATTCCATTGTGCCCCTCTGGTATAAATAAAGAGTCTCGACCCTTATCAATGATTTGGATAAAACCTTCGTAGAAATTCATATCATAAAGAATAAGAAATGCATTATCCAACTCAATAAATTATAATTATTAATTGCTTCTCTCTCTAGGGTTACCTTTGGGTAACGCCTAGTCTTTGTCCGCCGCCAGCTGTCCAGGAAGCCTCGGCCGTCGTCGATGGCTGTGTTGGAGTGCGGGTTTTCTATCGAGCTCTTCGGGGGCTTCGCTTTGGTTGGAGTTTTGTTTCGGTCGAGGAGGTCAGCGGCGGAAGGAGGAGCGTTGGAGATTTCGGTGTGGTCTGTCAAAGTCGGCCTCCACGAAAGCTTCGTTTGTTGCAGGAGTTTCGTGCTGTGAATGGAGTGTTTTGTATATAAATACAAAAACATGGCGAGTGGGATGGAGGAAGAAGATCTGGATTTCAATACGAAAGACGTTCCGGTAGAGAAAAGCACTTCTGGGTTTCAGGTGGTAGGAGTGCTACTGACTTTTGAGGCGGATGAGCGGCGAGTGCGTCCCCCTCCTGAGCCGCCGCCATGGAGGTCCGAGGGATGATTCGAGGTTTCTGGCTGCATTAGAAGTTTTTTTATTTTTTGTTTTGTTTGCTGTTTCAGAGATTGTTATTTCTGCTTTGTTGTTTGCTTTTTCTTTTTTGTTCCTGTTTGTAAGACGTTGATTTTGGATGTGGGGGATGAGAGGAATATGGTGACCGTTTATGGCTTTAAGGTTCCCACTTTTGGATCAGCGAATTATATTGCTTCTTTGGAGGTGATTAATTCCGAGTCTGATTCACGGGATAACGGTTGTCAGATTTCTTTTTGTCATTTGACCCATACTCTGAATTATCTGTTATCAATTTAAGCCGAATTCTTCCAAAAAACTTTAATCTATTACAAGACTGTTTCACCCCAAAGACCTTAGGATGCCCTAACAATGAATAATTTCAGAGAAGATGAAATTCCTAACTTTGTTTCAGAGATACGGATAGTAGAGTCATCAACAATTTCAAAACTAAAACTTTTGCTTTCAATCAAAACATCAAACCTGGAGGAAGATTCGCTCCAGGCTACATTTTTCTTGGCGAAATTGCTTCGTTGCTCCAAATTAGTTTGATCATCTTGATTATTCTGCAAAACCTTTTTCCTTGTATCCGGGAAATCCCATTTACGCCTAAACTGTCTGGAATCTCTTCTGAGAATAGACCGCTGGTATGCTGAGTCGTCACCAAAGAATCTGGCTCACTATCTCATAGGGAATCGCCATGCCTGGGTGCTAGAGAAAAAATTCCCGTTCCTGGAGCTCCGGGAGACCAGACATCTCTGATCCCTTCTGCTGACCGATGGACGACATAGATGCGGTCTCCACTCTATCGTCTCCCTTTCGTAGCTTCTTCCCCGGGGTAGATAGTCTCGCCTACTCCGATATCGATTCGATGGACGGCGTAGATGCGGTCACCACTCTATCGTCTCCCTTTAGTAGCTTCTTCCCCGGGGAAGATAGTCTCGCCTGCTCCGACATCAATTCGTCCAATTGAGGTCACCGATCCGACGATGCTCTCGAATCGGATAAAACCCCTACACCGCCCCAAGCTCCCGACCATGTCATCCCTCTAGAAGATTACATTCCAGTAAAAATTCTCATGGTCGTACTTACTGTCATCTTGTAGGCGTGACTGACAGATAGTTGCAGTACAGTGCATTTAACATGACAATATTTATTATAATTAATGGCGGTATTTTTTAATGATGACAATATTTTTCATACATGACAGTAACAACTCCTATTTCGGCAATTTTCCTAAAAATAAAGAAAGAAAAGTTATAGGATGAAAAAAGAAAAAAAGAAACATAACATTGTTTTGAACATATTTGTAAAAGGTTAGATTATACATGAAAAATTTCTACGGAGGACAAAAAACGTGGTATTTATTGATCATCAACTAGTTGGGTTTAATGAGAGAAGGTGTTCTACAAAGGTGTGATTTAGGGATGGATTGGGGCAGGTCGACCCGATCCGGTACCAGCACTGTTTAGTTCCGACTCAGTCCTTTTTAGGCCTGGAGCCCGGTCCCGGCCCAGTGGCTATAAGAGCGAGCTTCGGGCTTGTTTTTAGGCTCGCCCTGCCCGGATCCGGTTCGGGCCCGAACCCGATTGAACTATTTTTTTAATTTATTCTCCAGACTCTTCACGGGCCGCCCGACCCGGTACTGTTTAGCCTCGGCCCGGTCCTAGTACAAACTCGGGGCAATATCGAGCATGAATTTTTAGTCACGGTCCCGCCTAGTCCTGACCTTGAGCCCGGTCCGGCTAGCTCCCGATTTATCCCTAATGTAATTATTTTAGAATTGCGTAAATGTGATTATTATGATTATGAGAAGACAGATAAAACTATTGATGTCAAGTTTTGCTTGTATTTATGGGTACTTTTACTTTTTTTATATGAGGCGTGAAGATTCCGTTAACGTCGTCAATCCATATGCTGGGGGCTAAGCCTCGTAGAGTTGTAGAGCTGTTCCGTTAGGAATTCGTCATACCGTTTGATCAGGAGGACCCTCTACGTCCGATAAAAATCCAACGGCCACGCAGACGAATGGCGTTTCTGTACGCGCAAGGAGTAGCGATAATTTTCCTTGGGTATATATAACAGAGGATGAGGACGGAGGAAGAGCTGTTCTGTTCTTTAATAGAGTCCTCTCTCTCTGTCTTCTCATCTCACTTCCACCGGAAGTTTCATTGAAAAGAGATCATTTTCGAAATTTCCGGTGAGTGATTGCTTATCTTCAATCTCTTTACAGAAACCGGAACAATGTTTCAGTTTCCCTTCAATTAGCGAAAATGATCAGAATTATCTCGAGAATTTTGTGTTTTGAATTCGTGGTTTGATGTATTTCGGTTAAAACTTGTTATGAATTTCGAAATTCACTCCGATGCCGTTTTTATGGACAGATACAATCGCAAGAAGATTTCAGCTGATATTGACGTGAATTCGTCTTTCAGTTCTTCTGCCGATTTCAATAGGTTAGCTCGTGAATTGAAATTTAAGGCATTTAGCATCTGCGGTTTGATTTGTTCTCTTTTCGATTTCACGGTGCCATAGCTTGGCGAATGATTTGGTTCCGTGTTGGTTCTACAGGCGTGTTCTGGCAAATCCTGATGAGATGTGGAAGTCTATCTGAACTTCTTCTAGATCAGATTCTGTATTTGCTAAGCTTTGAGTAATGAAGTTCGGAAATGTCGCCGTTCTACTGAAGAACCACCGTGAACAGACCCTAAAAAGTGAAGAAATTGTAAATCTTTTTATGATTCCTGTTGTTTCTCAGTCGATTCCGATGAGAAATCAATCCGAAGGTGATGGTCTTTGAAGTTCGGAATTGCAGCTCTTTTCCGTGAGAGTTCGAACCACCCCTTTGACAGCTGTATTAACACGCTTTGCGTTTCTCACCTTCTCTGATGATCTGAAACATTTTTTTGCGTGAATTTGCAGATTCAAGAACACGTCGCTAGAAGATTTTGAAAGGATTTCATGATCTCATAGTTTCGTCCAACTTGTAGTTTGGAATCCGGAAGGAATATAATTTTTCTCGCATTTTGAAGATTGGTAGTTTGAGGTAATGATAGATTGATAGTAGAGCCTCAGCCGCTCAAGTAATCATCACCCCTTCCCCTCTGTTCTCTGTCTTCTTCGGTTCATCTCCTTGGTTCTAGTCACATTATTTTCAGGAAGATTTCCTGTAAATCCAATCGCATTTTATTCAATTTCTGTAAAGTCCATCCGAGTTCCGGGATCTCTGCACCATAAGGAATTTAGAGGTTTCCTGAAGAAAAAAAAAACTCCTTTAGATTTTTCGCTTCTTTAATTCTCACAAGTCACAATCTTCATGTTTTTCAACCGTCTTCTTTTGCAGAAATTGTTAATTCAAAATAATTTAAATAAATTTTCCTTGTTTCATTTCTGATGTCATAGTGCCTTGATCTATCTCGTATTGGAAGTCGTCGTTTTCCTTACACTCTGTCTAGCCATTGCATTTAATGCGTTTTGTCCGTATTGGCTATGAATTTGCTGAAATTTACCCGTATTTACCTGATAAAGATGAATACCGAAATTGTTTTCTGGTGCATTTGGTTTGCTCTGATTGATTTTTAAATCTTTTACAGTTGTGTTAACTGTAAAAGCTTACCTCGGTTAAATTATTCTACCCGTTACAGAGGTGTATAAAGGAGTTTTGATGGAGAAGAATTACAGGGATGGATTGCTGCTGAGGTCAGCGAATTGTCAGCGTGGCGAGGACAGGTCGGGGATTAATACGACGTCATCAGACTTCGTTTTGCAGTGGGGAAACCGGAAGCGGTTACGATGCATGAAGGTCCACAATAAGAATCTTGGCATCGCGCGAGCAAATCACAACTGTTGCGTTGAACCGTCTAGTTCGGCCCCGACTCAAAGAGCTAGCGGTCTACCGGATCGCCGGGTTGGTAGATCCGACCCGAATAAGGATTCCTCGCACCGTCAGCTACACGGTTGTTTGAACCTACGCCAACGTCTGGCGTCGCCAGCTCATCGTATTCTCAGGTAAGGTAATTTTGCGACGTGCCTTTTTTTCTTTTTGAAATATGAGTTTTTACTGTCATGTATGAAAAATACTATCATAATTAAAAAATAGTGGCATCATATATAATAAATATTGTCATGTTAAATGCACTATACTGCAATTATTTGATAATCTCGGTTACAAGATGACAGTAAGTATTGTCATATTAGTCCTATTTCGGGAATAAAAATATAGTATTCCTATTTTGGATTTCAAACTTCATTTACTCATATTTTGGGAAATCCCCGTGAAAATATGGTAATGTTTTATTCATTTAATTTTGTTTATTGGAAACTAATCAAGTTAATAACATTTTTATTGATTTTAACCCTGTGACTAGTTTCAATTTCACATTTTTTTGAAAAATTGAGTTCCATATTCAAATTTGTAATTATTCAGAAACACCGATCGTTAAAAGTTGATGTTGTTAACAATATAGATAAGAGACAAATGCAAAAATATACGTAGTATATTTTATTTAATATAATAAGGTTTAGCTATATTTTTTTTGAAAGAAAATAGTTTATATTAAAATAAACTGAAACAAAGCAACAATTATGTCCCGAAGCTCACTCTATGCAACCAATACCAAAATTCCTTCAGCATCTTCACGTCATGTCGTCATGATCAGTGATCATAGGATAGCCCTCTTTGAAAAGAATGAGATTAATGGTTGAAACAGTGAAAGCATACCCTCCACCCTTACTGCACGACAAAATGAAAAAGTAAAAACAAGCAAATTCAGTAATGAAATGAAAAAAAAAATAAAAAAAAAGTAAAAACTCAATTGATGGAATTCCCTTGCTTCCACCCATTGTGAAGCCTCCTCCCCATTTTTTGACGTCCTCAACTCTATGTCTATTTCCCTATGCAAAGGCACTTCCTTCCGTTGCTCATTGATGTCCGCCATTGACCATTACCCTACACTGAAACTTGCTACAAAAGAAAAAGCACGATAGGTGCCTTACCTTTCGATCAACGCTACTCTTCCTCGGATGTATTGCTACGAACAGCCAAAATTTGGTTGAAAAATGCATGGTGTACACCAAATGTGTACACCTTTTGTGTACAAATGCATGTCCCCAGCAGACAAGTTGTTTGTCCACAAACAATTCTACAGAGTTGTCTGTGGACAGACAACTTATCTGCTGGGGGCAGACATGTGTACACAAAAGGTGTACACATTTGGTGTACACCAAGCAAAGCAAAGTTGAATTTGGTTGGCCCACTTTCGATGTCGGACGAAATTGTCGACAAATAATTCTCGCAAACCTAGGTAACCCTATGTGCGAGCCGCTCCGCAAGTTCCGCTCTATTTGGGCTAGCTATATGCTTATATTTTATGAACTGCTGCAAGTCGGTTGTCGCCAATGGGTACTAGGGCTATGGGTTATGGGCTATGGTAAGCAGTATGTTTCCATTTAACCCACATCTCTGTTTTCAATATATATTTATTTTTATTTATAACTATAAACTTCCAAATTTCCATTTGTAAACACATAAATACTTTTATTTATCTTTTCAATTTTTACACCTCCAATTTCCAAATTTGTACTCTACTTTAAACTCCTAAAGTTTTACATTTTGGTTCTCTAAAAACTCTACACAAGTAACGAGAACTGAACTGGGGAGTAAAATTTTTTTGGTATAAATTGAGAGCTCATTTGTTTGATGAGATGTGGATTGTATTACTTAAAGAAAAATGTTTGGTGTACTCATTTTTGTGTACACGTTTCGTACATTCGTCTCTCTCACGCACAAATAATTAGTCTCTCTCACGCACAAATAATTATCTGTTCACAAAAAACTCGGTAGAGTTGTCAAATGTGTACAACAAGCACGGCCGCTACATGAATCATCACTTGAATGTGTTGAGAGATTATGAGTGACATGTGACTCGACTAAAATTTTGAATTGGGCTGATGGTTTTTTCCCTATAGTATTGGGCTGATAGTTGACAGATGGCTCATATGTTAACCAGTAACTTATACAGTACATACGATAACTTGCTCGATTTTGAATTGCGTTGATTGTTTTTACCCGATAGTATTGGGCTGATAGTTGACAAATGGCTCATACGTTAATTATTTTGCTACAATGCTTATTTAAATTTTACCTTTATTTTCGAACATATATTGTTATAATAATTTACGGGGTATATTTTTAGACATTGCTACCCAAGCCTAATTTATCTAGCTCAAAAGTCAAAATAATAGTGTTGGTCATGGGCGGATGTAGAGAAGCTAAGTTAGGTATCAGTCCAATTTAAATTTATTAAATATTAGCTTAAAATATTTTGCGATTAAACAAGTTAAAAAAATTCTGAATACTTATAAAATTAGCTTTAATAGCGTGTTATGTTAAATGTTTTCCGAAATACGTTATTGTATTTATAATTATAATACGTACGTTTAAAGTTAACCCAATAAAATACAGAAAACTGCTTCAATTTACTGATCCTCTTTTGTGCTTTCGGGCTTTGTAATCAAGAAGTCATTCATTCTTCAATAAAAGCAAAGAATATCACTTTCTATATTTTAAATTAGCATACAAGAAGAGTATTTGTTAAGCTTCATGCCTCCATCTTCACGTATACGCCTTTTTTCGTTGGCCAAAAATACCATAATAATACTAAAAGAGAGAAATTCCCATTACATGACTAAAAATCAGGTTTGATAGGAATTTGAGCTGTAAACACATTAGATGAATAGGATTCACGTGATAATCCCTACATTTTAGGCTTAGAAATTAATATAGGTGAGTAACCGTGGGTGGGTTGGCCAAAATCAAGCAACAAAATAGGAAGAAAAACTACTTGGTCATACATTGGGAAAAAGGGGGAAAAGATGATCTTTTAGTCATATGAGTGATAATTCTCTCATTTTTTTGTGGCAATGTTTTATGTTAAGATTAGAGACTATATTAGATTTAGGGAATAGTAACAAATTAGATTATTTCAAACCAGCAAGATTAGAATATAATTGAGAAAAGCGGACCAAATTTAAGAATAAGTTCAATTAGAATCATTCTAGATAATGCGGCACAGACAAACTTAAAAAATAAGTGGAGTATTTTTAATCTTTTATTTTATATACTCCCTCCGTTCCGAAATTATCTTCATTCTTTCCTTTTCGGTTCGTCCCAAATTTATCTCCTCTTTCCTTTTTTGATAAAGAATATGTGGTTCACAATCATTCTCACACATTTCTCTCTCTTCTGCACAACTCTCCACCACACAAATCTCACTATCTTAATCTCCGTGCCCAGTCAAAACCGAAGTTAATTATGGGACGGAGGGAGTATCTAACATTTAACAAATTTTGAATTTTCTTTCCTTTTTAAAGATTTCTGTTCACTGCTCTCTAGTCAACGTGAAGTATTTTTAAATTTTTTACTTTATATATCCATTTTTAATAAATTTGTTTTTTTATTTTATATAATTTTTAATTTAGTTTCTAAATATGAAAATTTTATTTAGTTTAAAAAATTTAATATCGTAAATGATAGAACCGCGAACCACAAACTTTTTCCTATTTTTCTATGGGATGGAGATAGTACTCACTAAAAGATTATGACGGGAGTAATAGACCCTCAGAATGAACGTTGCACGTTAAATACACAACACATTATTGGGAAACAAACATGCTTGATGACACACCCTTGTACACATCTTATACACACCATGTTTGTGAAGTTTTTTTTTTGTCTGTGAATCCGGTTCACAGACAATATTTTGTTTGTGCAAAACATTGTCTGTGAATCGATGTTCACAAATAAAAAAAAAAGCTTTCACACACATCATTTTTTATTGGCATGGCAAAATGATAGTAAATCAGAATTTTACCGACCACACAATCAACAAAGACGTTGGGTATTAAAGCAGAGTAATTTTAGTACACGCGGTACAACGTATTTATTTTTGCTTTTACTTATATCGCTCCCTCCGGTTCTATTAAAACTTTCAATTTTTATTTTTCGTCCGTTCCAATTAAAATTTCTATTTTTCCTTTTTAGTAAAAAAAATTGCGTTTCATAACCATTCTTACACATTTTTTTATCTTCTGCACAATTTTCCACCACACAATACTCACTATCTTTAATCGTGCATCAAACTTATTTGGGAGATATAATAGAAAGGAAGGCAGTACATTCCATAAAATAAGTGAAATTTTCTTATTTTTTGTATGATTTTTTATAGGGTACGTAAAAAGATCCGCCTACAAACAATTTATGAGTTCTGACTAATTTATTGCTTAGACATCAATTATCAATGGAAACGAATAGAATAATCATTGGTTAATTAAAAGCCTACAGTGACCTAGTGGTACGGGAATCGAGTAGGGGCCTTGTAGCTGTAATGCTTACCACTCTATCGTGCCTAAGTTGTCATATCAATCCATCAAATATGTGGGGCCAATTCCTCTTCGTAAAAACCAGACACCCCGCATCGTCCGCCACGTCTACGCCTTTTTTCGTAGGACCTGAATCCGACGGCCTCCTCCTTCCATCTCCCACTATTATCTCTCTCGTACTCATTCGGTTACCTTTTCCTTCTCGGACACACCGTTTGGTTGCAGATCTCACACACGCGCTCGCTCATCGTCGCCGCAATCTTTCATTCCCATTAATAAAAGAAAAGAACCCCCCCCCCCCCCCATTATCCTGCGATCCAGGGCGTATTCGGTAACTTCAATCTTCAGTGTTATTTTATTTAGAGTCGCACTTTATTCTTATTGTTGTTGTTGTTGAAAGTGATGATGATCTGATCTCATTTATTGGTGTAGGAATTCAGAGAGTTCAATGAGAGAAAGGATCAACGGGTTGAGGAATTCGGCCTCTCCCCCGGACAGGAGAAGTGGGGGTGCACATAACCATGCCAGGCCCAGCCAAAATAATGACAACCACCACCACCACGGTGGTGGTGGGGGTGGGTCCGTGTCGTCGGAGACTGCACATGAGAGCAAGAAGGGACCGTCCTCCTCCTGCAGTGACACAGTTCCGATGATTTGGCCGCCCAAGTTTGTGATTGCACTTACCAATAAGGAGAAGGAAGAGGATTTTATGGCCATCAAAGGATCTAAACTTCCCCAACGTCCCAAAAAACGTGCCAAACTCATCCAGCGTACCCTCAATGTTAGTTTCCCCTTCCTTTAACTCCATCCGCGGCTCCGCCCCTATCGTTATGATATTTTTCATCAAGGAATATTTTATATCTATTTTACCAGAAAATATGAGTACTTTTATAACCTATGTTAGTGCTACGTATTTTTCGTAAGATTCATTATATTGACATCAGGATGAGTAAATGCGATTATCTCATGGATACATGACATTGCAAATTAAAAAAAACAAAATAAAGCAACTTTGGTACTCATTTCATGCGACGACATGACGTTATGGATGAATTTGGTGACATTCGGTAAGTTTTGTGCCTTTCTTCCGACAATCCAAAAACCTAAAAATCACTACTGGGTCCCACAATAAATTGTGACTAGAACCTTTTTTGGACTATTTAATTTAGGGCCATTTTTTGGCTTGTTTTTTCACACTTAATAAATTAGTGTATGACTATTGATATCTATAATTGATATGTGCATTTAATTCCATCGCTTTGATTTGTACTGTAGTTGATCAGCCCGGGGTCATGGCTGTGTGATCTATCCCTCGAACGATACGAAGTAAGAGAGAAAAAGGTGTCAAAGAAGGTATTGAAATCGTAGTTTATCATTTTGTATTTGGCTGCATTCTTTTTCTTAACAAATTAGTGATGTAAATGTTTCAGAGGCCAAGGGGTTTGAAGGCAATGGGTAACAGAGATTCTGACTCCGAGTAAAGAGAAAGCCGGCGAGATAAAAAAGAACGCAGTGAATCAATCGGAGCACCATCCCGATATTAAGTATGCTGTATTTCATGGACTTTAACCTCGAGGAAAAATGGAATGATTTTGATAAGAAGATTACTTTGCCTTCTTATAACTTTCTCCCTTTTCTCTTGCACTAGCAATTAAGTAAAGGGTTATTAACCCTTAGTAGGAGTAAAATAAGTCCAAAATTCAACAATAGGGGTACAATCTTTTTATTCTCAAAATAGGACTAATATATGTCTATTCTTCCCATTCTAACCCCTTCCTATCATTTCCAATAGATTTATTTTATTAATAAGAAAATCGTACTTTTATTTAAAATAAAAATATAAAATATTTATAATATAATAATGAAAACGTGAAAAAATAAAATAAAAATAAAAAAATTAAAAATAATAAAAAAAAATTCTTAAATTTTTTAAAGTCCAAAAAATAAAATTAAATACCTAAAAAAATTAAAAAATGGGTAGGTCACTGCCCTGCCAATGCATACTCTACCTCCTAGCACCACTGACTCTGGTCACCGGGAAAAAATGTCATTTTGTGTAAAAAATGTCGCATTTCTCTGAAAATATCATAAAGATGACATTTTTACTCTTTGAAAATATATATCTTTCTCTCGCTTTCTCTTCAAAATTGTCATCATGATTGACATTTTTCTCAAACTTGGCAATCTTTTCCGTCGACCGGAGGTGGTGGTGCGGGAAGGTGGCTGATTAAACTGATTTCCACGGGGATTAATAAAGTAAAAATTGTGTGGTTGATATTTGTGTAGAGGAGAGAATGTTAATTGGAATCACAAATTCTTTACTTAAAAGAGAAAGTGGCAAAGTTGGTGGGACATTCAAAAAAGGAAAGTTGACAAAGTTTTAAGGGACAGGGGAGTATTGTTCAGGTGTTCTAGATTAAACTTTTAGGAGGTCTTGTAAACCTAATTTCCATATTCAAAACAATCTCACTATTCAACCTAGGAGTGGACTCGGGCAAGACCAACCGGCCCGGAACCGGACTGGACCGCTATTGTGCGGGCCCGGACCGGCCCGGTGAACCGGTTGGTGCCCGGTTCGGGCCACTCGGCCTGGTGAGGTAGGCGGTTCGGGTCCGGGCCTGCTAAATAGTGAACCGTCCCGGTGGGTTCGGGGCCGGTTCAGGCCCGGTCCGGGCCAATTTAATTATTTTTTCTTTTTTTTTTGATTTTTTTTAAGTTTTTGGGTTAGGTTGGGTATGATGGGCCATTTGAGGTGGTTTGGGGTGGTTTGGGGGTGAGGGGGAGGGTTGAGGGTTACATGAACTGAGGCTCGTCACGGCCTGGACCGGACCCGAGGGTTACCCGGGCCGGTTCTTGGCCTCCCCTTTCATGAACCGAGGCCTGGCCGGGCCCGAACTGGAACTGATCCACCCTACCTCCATCCATCAGGAGTATTTGCTCTTTTGAGATTTTATGATATCAATTTACAATTAATATCACCGGAGTAATTGAGCCATTGAAGAAATTGTATATTAAAGTTTCATGAGATACTTCCTGATGGGGTTATGGGACTAGGCCCAGAGCCTAATCGGCCCAGGCCCCGAACTTGGACCAGTAGGTCCAAACCCAACAACCCAGAGCTTGAGTCGGCCAAACCCGATCAGGTCAATCAAGGAGCGGAAGCCCAAGAGAGCTTGCCTCCTAGTCCGGTGGGGAGCCTGCCGACCAGCCCAGCTGGGAGCCTGCCCTCCAGCCCGGCCAACGTAGAGCCTGCCTTCCAGCTCGGCCAGCAGCCTGCCTCTAGCTCAACGGGGAGCCTGCCTTCCAGCCTACACGGGAGCCTGCCTCCCACCCGGTCAGAAGTCTTCCTCCAGCCTAGCGGGAAGCCCACCGTCCAATCCAGCAGGAGGGAGCTCAAGCGTCCAGCCTGCCAGCCAGGTTGACCTGCCAGCCAGGAACTATAACGGCCAAAGTAATTAATGTGTGACTTAATTATGTATTTAATTCTGTATTAATGTTGTAATTAGTTAGCCATTAGTATTTTCGGCAGTTACCATTTGTAATCGCCTATAAAAGGCAAGTTCAAGTCAAATAATAGATAAGCTATTCTTGGCTACCAAATTCCCTTAGCACTTTCCCGTTCTTGTTTTCCTAATTCCCACTTGAGTGTCGTACGTAGCTTTCCCAAAAGCCTACGAGCGTCTTATTTTGGACCAACACTTCCAATGAAAACACCTGAGGAAATCTCTCAATGGGTAGAAATTTCCACGGGTAATTCGATAGTTTAGAAAGAGCTAATTCACGTACTGGGAACAGTCCAGACAAAAACGTTAGGGTAGGAGACAACTAGATAATGGAAAAAGAAGCATCTCGAACGAAGGGACAAAGAGGTCTTTTAATGAGCCAACGCTATAATAGATTTCAGCCCAAAAAGTAACATTTTTGTTACTTTTTCCGCTGAAATTTACGAAGTACTGGTTGAAGTTGTATTGGTTGATTCTACTGATTTATGAAAAAAAAATTTAAAATATATTTTATTAATAAAACAAAGAAAAAATTAGATATAAAATAGCTAAAATGGTGCTCTACGGTAACTTTTGTCGATACAGCCAGAAAAGTAACTTTAATCTTACTTTTTCTTATTATTACACATTTCAGCGCGCAAAATCAAAAATTGACTCATAAGCCGAAAAACAATGTTACCAAATGAGCTCTAAATAACCCATTTGAGGGCCATATGGTGATATTTATGTATATTTAGGCTTATTGGCCTATTTTTGCTCTTCCAATGGATACCAATTTTTACTTCATCCAATTTCATTTTGCATTTAACAAAGTTTCTATATCATTGAGAGTATCTTCGATGCGATAATGTGTATAGTGTCTACGTGGATTGATTGATATAATAGATATAAAAAATTAAGTTAATGAAATATCTCTTTATTATATACATAGTATATATTAATGAAATTTTTGAAAATTAAATTTATATTGTGAAAATTAAAGTTAGGGAAAATCGTATTTTTATTCTCTGAAATAGTCATCATATTGAAATGTCAGACCCGTATTTGTGAGATTGTAAATGTCACCCCTCAATTTTCCAAATTGTTGTAAATGTTCTTGTACATTTCACCCCTCTAAGGACCATATTTACATCAATTTGGACAATTGAAGGGTGACATTTACAAACTAAGAAACATAGGTCTCACATTTCAATATAGTGACTATTTCAGGGACTAAAAGTGCGACTTTCCCTTAAATTTATATTTTAGGTTATTTTAAGCAAGAATATCACTATGTCGGATTGAGTATCACTACGTTTGTTGTGTCTGTGAACCGGATTCACGGAATAAAAAATAGCATCTCACAAGGGTAGGTATAAGAAAACTCCCCCATTTTTTATCCCCTTGCTGCCAGCCGAAAAATATGATTCGTTCTTTTCCTTGATCAGAATTTTAAAGTGTTTTTTGCATAGATCCATGAGCTTGACCTACAACTAGGAAAAGTTTATCGAAATCATCAGTTCAATCAGTCCCTGAAAAAGATTTCAATTCAACAATAATTTTCTCTAGAAACTCAAAATGGTTTTGAACAAAGTTAAAAACTCGACGGGAGGAGGTCGAGTGCCTGAAACCCCGTAGCCGTTGTCAACCAATGTTAAACAGAAAAATTGGGTAGAACAATTCTTTCGAACTTCAAACAGATGAACTCACTCACCCCATGAGTTCCTTTGACAAAACATACACCAAATCTATGCAATGTTAAGAAAGAAACATATTGTTGATGTTAAGTCCTCGCGGTCCAAAGGTGCAACACAATCCTTTAGCTTTTGTCTGATTCTTTTAATGGATTAGCAGTGAGTGTATAAAGCTAATATGAGGGATAGGGATGGACCGGTTCCGGTTCGGGCCCGGTTCGGGCCTGGGCCCGGCCGGGCCTCGGTTCATGAAGTGGAGGCCCGAAACCGGCCCGGGTAACCCCCGGGTCCGGGCCGGGCCTCGGTTCTTTTTTTGGCTTTTCCTAGTTAACCCCTAACCCTCTCCCTCACCCCCAAACCAACCCTAACCGCCTCAAATGGCTCAAAATACCCAGCCCAACCCAAAAACTTAAAACAAAATTCAAAAAAAAAATGGCCTGGCCCGGGCCCGAACCGGCCGGGCCGGTTCACCTTTTGAAGGGCCCGAGCCCGAACCGCCATCCCACCGGGCTGGGTGGCCCGAACCGGCCAACCAACCGGTTCACCGGGCCGGTCGGGCCCGCACAGTTGCAGACCGGTCCGGTTCCGGGCCGGTTGGCCCGGCCCGAGTCCACCCCTAATGAGGGAGATGCAATAACAAGGAATAAGAGTCAAAGTGGGGCAAGTTCAATTGAGCACTTAGAACTATTACGGCGCACCTATGTCGAGCTCGAGCTCCAATCCCCTAGATCAAGCTAAAGATTACAGAAGAACCAAAGAGACGTCTATTGTTAAGCATGTAAGTTTGTCTATCCTTTACAATCAAATAAATGCTGCTATTTATAGTTTTATACTACGTGTGGTAGGTGAAGCGGTGATGTGCTCAATCCCAAATGGATAGCCCTCAACCATAAAATTCCTCATATCTAGTTTTTAAATGTGTTTTCCGTCAATTCTAATTTTTTCCATCAATTGTTTCAGGCAACTCTTCCTTGGGCAGCTGACAGCTCTAGAGAAGGAACCCTAGTGAGAGGATCAACCAGACTAGCATGGGTCGTGCGGGCGTCCCAACCGAGATCCTAGTTTGGGTGAGCTGGAGAACTGAACTTGTATGCTGATAGGGTCGTTTGATGTATTTGTGTCCGGGCCTAATATCTCAAATATACTACTCCCAGCACCACCGACTCTGGTCGCCGGGAAAAAATGTCATCTTGTGTAAAAAATGCCACATTTCTCTGAAAATGCCATAAAGATGACATTTTTCTCTTTGAAAATATCCAGCTTTCTCTTGTTTCTCTTCAAAATTGCCATCATGATGACATTTTTTCCCCAACTTGGCAATCTTTTCCGGTGACCGGAGGTGGCGGTGCTGGAAGGTGGCTGAGATGGTGGTTGAGGTCTATTTTTTTTAATTATTTTTTACGTTTTTTTTTTGTTTTTTTTTTATATTTTATAATGATTGTTTAAAATCCTATTTTGGGAATTTAAACTTTAAACTCCTATTGTTGCAATTACTCTTTTATTTACTCCTATTTAGGTAAATATCTCATAAAAATATGATTAAAGTTTGTGATTAAAGTATTAAAAATAACATCATTATCCTTTTCTTTGATGGTAGACGGTCCATTTGTTCTGTCATCTCTCATCTTTCCATTTAACACCGATAATTAGGATATAGATGACAATATGACATACTAAGGGAATAAGGGTTCAAAGTTCAAACCCACTTATCAGCTTCTTCATGATTTGCATGATACCTTGATTAAACACTAGAGCAAATTTAAGTATTCACTGTTCACATATCCCTCGCCTCTTAATAATCCAAACAAACTGAAAGATTGTAAAACTGTCAAAATCCAATTCAACAAATTTCATAACAACTACGCCCTATAAAGATATTTCATAATCATGCAACCGGCTGCACAACACAACACTTGTGGAAGAAGGAAAAAAATCTATGATGCCAAGAATCTATCTATCTGTGTGTGTAAGCTATAAAAATCCCCTCTTTCTATCTTTCATTGTATCAAAACCCCAAATACTTGGGAGCTAAAAGGATGAGAGGTTCCAAGGCACTCGGAGCGAATTTCCTGGCAAAAAGATAGCAAAGGGAAGAATTCCGGCCATTATATATGCATGAATGACCTTCCAGCAACCTCTTCATGAAAGCTTCTGTGATATCAGACCTCCCAAATGTTGCGGGATGGGCCCCACCTCTCGACCAGTCGACCAATGTCAGGCTCCTGTTCGCCAAGTGGCTTGCTGCTTTAATGGTCAGCATGGTGGGGTAATAATGCTCATCCACATAACAAGCCGGCTTGCAGAATTCCATAAACTTGGGGTAGAAGATGACGTCTTCCACTATATAGAGAGCGAGATTTCGGTTAACCTCAAACCATTGAGAGCCTTTCCTCCACTGGGTGATGTTAACCTCGGGTGACATGTTCGGGTCGTAACGCCCTCTTCCGTACGGGCCTGGGTCATCGAATGACCCCATGAAACTGTGTTTCGATCTCTTGATGTAGGTATAAATTTGAGTGAAATTGTGGAGGGGAATGCACGATTCAGAGAGAAGAACGAACCACTCGTTGGATATGTCGAGCAATGCATTGGCAAGAAGTCTTCTCTCAGCATCACATATACTCATCTTTCCCCATTCAGCTACCTGTAAATTTTGATGTGTACTTCGTTGAGTAATTTCATCTCATGTACTAAATATAAAATCATAATCTAAAAGACATTGGACTCCTCGTCCTATTAAGCTGAACTTCTAGGATAAATCATAAGCCATAATAAAGTGTTGAGGTAATTCTGATTTGTAGTCATGGAGTGAGTCTTACAAAAAACTGTATGAACTAGATTAGATGAGTTGTCCAATTATGAGCATGTTTCTCATACCGGTTGAACACAAAATAATAAGCTAACAAGACTTTAGAATCTTCCTTTCATAAGGTTGGCCCTTTGGGATATAATTTCATGTGATAATAAACTATTTGTTCCAGTGTACCCAAAGTTTACATTTTTACTTCTTTCAGGGGGGGCAGCCTGACCTACTCTGTCATCGTGTTCAGTCACAATATCAGCAAATCCAACACATTCAGCCATTTTAGAGAAATTAGCTCTGCCTAACAGGCACTACATTACTAACCAGCCAACCATTTTGAACAATATTGAGCAGGACAATACATCTTTAGGATTCACACAAAGGAGTCATAATACGAGAGGATAGAACTTATTGGTCTGCAATAACAACATATACAGCAACTATCTGTAAAAACTACTGCATTACTAAAAATAAAAACATCTATAAAACCCAATTCTACAATTACACCTATTCTTTTCGTAAAAAAACTAATGTTCATGGTCTGTCTTTATCAAGTAAGCATAACAGTATTTCTTCTTTGCGATCAGTTCCATTTCATGAAATTGTCAAAGGGCTGATTTTATTGAAACTTTGTACTTTTAATTGTCTACCAGCGCTGGATATACCTCTATTCATGTAAGACGCAATATTGCAACCAACTTCTTAATGAAGTCGAATTTGGATAAAATAGTATTCAAAGAAAAGGAAAACCAATTTTGCTAGCATTTGGAACTTGGAAGTAGTTACTCGTAGGCTAAATTAAGTTCTTGATTCCTGATAACCCAAGACGGGTATGGACAAGTTGTAATAGTAGCATCATATTATAGAACTGTAAGTCAACCGAGCATTAGACTAACTGCTAATAATTGATTGGGAAAGTGGTTAATGCGTCTATGAAACTAAACATAAAAAATAGCAAAATAAGACAAAGACACATCTCTGAAGGTGTGTAACAATTGAAGTACCCCTAACTCACCCAAAAAGATCCTCATGAGATGAGATTCATACTTAAAAATTAAACAACATTTGAAGTGAGACACTTAGCAAGCCTAAACTAAACTAGCCTAAAATTAAGGCTAAGTCACCCAAAATCTCTACCATAAATTATGGGGTACTGAACAAACAAATAAACCACCTCAAGCCTTCAACAAGCCAAGACATCATGGAACAACTTATCAAATAATTTAGTTTACAGAAGGCGTGATTTTCCTTGGAAAATAACAAGAAAAGTGCTTATAAATCTCATGTTAATTCATTGGTCAAGGTATAGAAAATACTCAAGGACGATGGCAACATTATTTTCATCAATAAACTACATTATTTTCAACAATGCCTACAAAAAACACAGCAAAAGAATAAGCAGTCTTTATAAGCATACCTGACTGGGTATCTGCCTCTTATAGAAAACAGATTTGGCAGTGAAATTGGCTTTAAAGGACGGTGATGAATGAACATAAATAGAAAACTTCCCCTCATTGCCCTTAAAGAATATTTCCCAAAGTGGAGCTAATGGCAATGGCCCTTTGGTCAAAAACATAAACGCAATTTTAGGAACCCTCTTGAATGGATACTTTTTAACTCTTGGCATAAAAGATGCCCTCCAAATCAGCTGTGTATCTGTCATTGCGTGCATCAAATTGGAAGGAGGCTTAATCCATTGCTCCAAATCATTAGCAGCGTCTTCTTCAACACATGACTCTAGACTAGGCTTCATAGGTTCCAACACTTTCCCATAATGCTTCATCATATAAATACTAACCATAGAGAATGATAAACACAGAAACAAGAACAGAACTAATATTTGTACCATCTTATGTGGCAAACCCCTAACATGGCCTCCCCTGCTTATAGCAGCTGATGATGATGATGGATCTTTACCTTCTTCCATATCTCCAGATTTCAACTGCATCTACTTAGAAATCAAATCCCCAGAAATTCTATTTCTGGGTGTTCAACTTTCAAGCATAATAACATACCCAAATCATATGCTTCTTGCCATAGTCAAAGATTCACTTTGGGAAACCCATTCTCATTTCAATTGCATAATAACCTACCCAAATCATAAATACCCAATCAAAGATCAAATCTTTACCAACTCTGGAAACTATCAAAGTTCAAGCCTTTACCAATCATACCATGCGGATTGCTAGATTTGTCCCCCACAACGAATCTTTACACTGCGTGTTTGATTTGTAAACCTAAGCTGTACCCACTCTGCGAAGACACGGAGGTTACAACTCAATGCCAATAATTAGTTATTGTTTTACTAATGAGAGTGGGGTTACTATATATAGGATATGGATGATATTTTGGAAAGAATCAAAGAAACTTATTGTTTGTCGATCCTTCGGTTAGCATATACTCGTAGCAGATATTTAGAACAGGAAGGTTTTCAGGGATTTTTTGTTTGAGCGATGAGAAATGTGCAGTTAAGATCTTACAACAAAGAAGAATTCCAAAAAGACAGGCGTAAGCACAGAGAAAATGCTGCTTCATTGCCAGACACACACTCCGTATTTTATAATCTACTCCGTAGCGTAGTATATATACTCCATCGGTCACATTTTCAATTCATTTTTTAGTGTCTAAATAAAATCATTTGGTAAGAATTCTTGATTTGATATTCTTTCTTTTCTTAAGTAAGAGTGATTGATAATTCGATCTCAGGAATGGTCTAATTACATTTTTTGGATCAACGATTTCAATATCAGATTACTACCGGATCAATCTTACTTAACATATTATATCTTTATCTTTATATTCATCTTTATCTTTATATAATATAATAATATACTCCCTCCGTCCCAAAATTATTGTCTCGTTTGGTTTTTCACACAGATTAAGAAAATAGCACTGTAACGACACTGTTTGGCATTGTTTAGCACTGTAGCGCCATTGTTTAGCACTGTAGCGACACTGTTTTGCACTATTTTGCACTGTTTGACACTGTTTGGTATAGATTTGTTTACCAAATAAGGAAGTTTTAGAAATGGGACAATTATTTGAGGACGGACCGAAAAGGAAAGCGGGACAATAATTTTGGTACGGAGGGAGTATAATACAAAGTAAAAGTTTGTCCTTTTTCAATCTCTCACTATTAAGACAATGACACTATTGATATTTAACTTTTAATTTTTTCATTTTTAGTCCTTAACTATTATGCTATAAACACTTTTAATCCCCGACTTCAATGTTTTCCACGTTTAGTCTCATGAGTATTATAAAATTGACATTTTTAGTCCTTCCACTATAATTTGACACAATAAATGGAGAACTAAAATGGCACTACTATAATAGTTGGATGATCACAAATGTCACTTTTATGAAAGTTGAAGGACAAATGTGGAAATTTTCAAAGACGAGTATCAAAAGTGTCTGTCGCACAGTAGTCGAAGGACTAGAAGTGGAAAAAATCAAAGTCGAGTACTAAAAATGTCAATGACATAATAGTCAGAAAACTAAAAATGACAAAAATTGTATAAAGTAACATAAAGTAACAATGTGAAACAATAATTAGATGGGAAAATCCCGCCCAAAATGATGACATAGGGTATGTTTGGCACAACTAGCTGAAAAGATACTTTTATGAGTTTTTTAGTAACTGTTAGCTTTTAGTGACTGAAAAGATCTTAAAAAGAAAAGGCAACAACTGTTTGGTAAAAAACTGACTGTTTGATTTAGCTCTGTTTGGTGTATAAGCTGTTAGGACTAATTAGTACTAGAAGCTACGGACTTATCTGAGATGCTACTAACTGTAGCATCTCAAAAAAGATCTTTTATTTTTATAAAAGCTCTTAAAAATTGGCGTGCCAAACATACAATTAGAAGCTTTTAAAGACTTTTTAAATAGTACAAAAGCTAGAAAGCAGGAATTTATGTCTGCCAAACATTGCAAAACATAACCTAGTAGAGAATTAATGAGAGAAGTAAATTTGGTATGCATTATTAATAACAAAATACGGAGTAAGTGATAACGGTCAAGTTTATAAAAAGTGACAAATATGAGAAAATCACTCATGGTTTCCATCAAGATATAACCTCGTGCTTTTTAAAAATGTTTTAACTTTTTTATTTGTACTAATTATTACTAACTCCGTCCGTCCCGGAATTATCTTCATTCTTTCCTTTTCGGTCCGTCCCAAATTTATCTCTTTTTTCCCTTTTTGGTAAAGAATACGTGGTTCACAACCATTCTTACACATTTCTCTCTCATCTGCATAACTCTCTACCACACAAATCCCACTATCTTAAAACTCGTGCCCGGTCAAAACCGGAGTTAAATATGGGACGGAGGGAGTATCAAAATTCATACTCCCTCCGTCCCGAAATTATCTTCATTCTTTCCTTTTCGATCCGTCCCAAATTTATCTCCTCTTTCCTTTTTTGATAAAGAATATGTGGTTCACAATCATTCTTACACATTTCTCTCTCATCTGCACAACTCTCCACCACACAAATCCCACTATCTTAATCCTCGTGCCCAGTCAAAACCGAAGTTAATTATGGGACGGAGGGAGTAATTTTTATTATCTTTCATATGATACCAATATTGAATATATAAACATAAAAAATATTTTAACAACTTAAAAACATATGTTGTAACTTTATCTTTATTTTTATTTCTATACTCCCTCCAGTTCTGAAAGATCTTTACACTTTGACTTCACAAATAATATTGAGTTTGACACTGTTTGACACTGTTTGGCATTGTTTGGCACTGTTTGGTGTAGATTTGTAAGACAAATAAGAAGTGTAAAGATAATTTTGGGACTGCCAAAAAAGAAAAGTGTAAAGATCTTTCAGAAACGGAGGGTGTATAATATAAAGTAATATTGTGAAACAACCATCGAAGGGAAAAATCCCACCCCAAATGAGAACATAGTAGATAATTAATGAGAAAGTAAATTTGGTAATGCATTAATAACAAAATAAGAAGTAAATGATAACGGCCAGGTTTATAAAAAGTGAAAAAGATGAGATAATCGGCCATCGATTCCATCAAAATATAATCTCATGTTTTTTAAAATGTTGTAACATTTTTATATGTTATAAAATATATATCAAAATTTATAATTTTTATTAACTTTCATATGACACCAATATTGAATATATAAAAGTAAAAAATATTTTAACACCTTAGAAAATATGTTGTAACTTTATATTTATTTTTATATAATACTCCATTTGTCCCATTTAAAGATTTCCGTTTTTCTTTTTTGGACATCCCACTTAAAAGTTCTCACATTCTATTTTAGGAAATAATTAACACTCTTAAATGACAATTTAATCATCAAATACCAAAGAAAACACATTTATAAAATCATAGTTATCATCAACAATTCATTCCATCATATACTCATCAAAATTATTTCTCAAAATATACTCGACTTAACATATTTAATTACTATCTTAATAATCGTGTCATTTTGCGACGCGGACATTTAAATGGGATAGAGAGGGTATAAAGTAACAGTGGGGGACAACAATTGGAGGGAAAAATTTCACCCAAAATGAAGACATAGTAGAGAATTAATGAGAAAAGTCAATATAGTGATGCATTAAAAAAATACGGAGTAAGTGATAATGGCCAGGTTTATAAAGTGTTGTAACTTTTTTATTTGTACTTCGATTGTTATAAAGTATATATCAAAATTCATACTTCTTCTGTATTTTAAAATTCCATACACTTTTCATTTTTTGATGTATTTAAAAGTTCCATACACTTTCCCTTTTTGATAAGTTTTTCCTTTAAAAATAATTAGTTACCCTTACTTTTTTTACTTTTTATCCTCTTTTTCCTACTTTTTAATCTCATCTCCTACTTTTTCTATACGACTATTCTCCCTTAAATCTTGTGCCATAACCTAACGTATGAATCTTTAAAATATGGAGGGAGTAATTTTCATTATCTTTCATATGACACAAATATTGAATATATAAAAGTTAAAAATATTTTAACCCCTTAAAAACATCTTTTAATTGTTTAAGAGCTATAAATTTTTTGTACTCTAGTTATTACAAAAAACATATCAAAATTTATAATTTTTTTACTCTTTCATATGACATGAGACATCAATGTTACGTTGAATATATAAAAATAAATCAACAATATAACATTTTAAAAACATTTTTTTAGGGATATAACTTTTTTATTTGTACTCCGGTTATTATAAAAAATATATCAAAATTCATAACATTTTATTATCTTTCATATGACACCAAAACTGAATATATAAAAATATTATAAACCTTTAATAAACATATGCCTTTTGAAGTGCTATAATTTTTAATTTGTAATCTGATTGTTACAAAAAAACATATCAAGATTTATAAATTTTTATTAAATTTCATATGACACCGATGTTGCATATATACAAAACCTATTAATTTGTGTTGTTAAGGATCATTTTTACCGTTCACACTATTAATCTGGAGTGATAGCTTAGGATAAAACTGCACAAATTCCATCAGTTTTATTTAGTTTTTATTCTTTGCGCTAGAATTTATGCAGTTTTATGCTAACTAACGCTCTGGATTAATAGTGTGCACGGTAAAACAATTACTACACTAAATTGCACATATTGATAGATTTTTTTATATGCAACATTAGTGTAATATGAAAGATAATAACAAGTTCTGAATTTTGATATATTTTTGTAGTGGTATGAGTACAAATTAAAAATTTATAGCACTTTAAAAAATAAATGTTTCTTAAAGTGTTAAATTATTTTTTATATATATTCAAATTGGTGTCATAGGAAAGATAATAAAAAGTTAGTATGAATTTTGATAAATTTTTGTAACAATCGGAGTACAAATTAAAAAATTATAACACTTTAGACAAACATGAGATTTTATTTTGATGAGCCCAGATTTTCTCCTCTTTGGTTTTGTGTTGTTGTGTCATATTTTCTAAGCCGCCAATTAAAGTGTTTGTTCTCTTAAATGGGTTTACCCCAGAAGTATATAGGTTAACATACTTTTAACCTTGCTCTAATTTAGTAAATATTTTTTTATTTAAATGAATATTATTTTGAGAAAAAACTCATAGACCAAGCTCAAATTCGAAATAAGTTTAAAAGAACATTCACTCTTATCTTGTGTGGTTTTATTTCATTTATGAACATTAATTAACTAATTAGTTATTGGGCAAAAAGTAAGTTTATTTAACTATTGAACTATGTTTTCTTTTATACACCAAATTAAAGGGAAATTTATAGAATAGTATAAAACTCCATTTGGTGACTTATGTTTTATGCTTATGAAATATCAACCTTAACAATCAAATATTCATCAAACACACAACTTTTGATTTCACACTGAATTGCATTCCTAATAATCAAAACAAGTAAAGTTGTAGTTACTTTTCTGACTGAATTAGTGGAAATTATTGTAAAGGATCATTTTATCTATTTTCATTACTTCATTATTAAATGTATTTTAAATATTTTTTTAATAGTTAGGTAGATTCAATTACTTCAGCCAGAACTTTATTACTAGTAATATTTTGTTAATATTTTTATCTCTGTATATGTTTGTAGTGTTTTTATGACATTAAGTTTGTTTATTCCGATCTAAATCTGATGAAACA